CCAGTTGGTTCCTAAAATACCAAAAAACGTATATAGAGCTAAAGTGATTTTGTGATATTTTTGTTTTATAAATTATATAAAAATCGGAAACATATAATCATTTGATATCTAAATATCGAGTTTACTCATGAATACATAAAAAGTTAAAAAATTTGAATCACAGAATGATTTTTTGGAGCAAATCTCTTGTTTGTTATAAATGCACTAAAAATAATGATCTTATCACTTTTGAATCAAAGAGAATAAGTTGTAACAATGAAGATAAATCATAACATGGTTATTTGAATCAAATATAAGAAACTTAATTTTCCACTTTCTAGTTCTACAAATAACCCAAAAACACTTAAATAAGAGGAATGCAATACTTATATCTTGGCACCATTTCTCTGGCCATTAATAAATCAGAAAAGATTAATAAAATAAAGAAATAAAAAAAGTTGGAAAGAAATAATATTTGGAATTGAACTACAAAAATAAACAACAAAAGCAACGAATTTTAAAGGGAATAACTAACACAAACTGAGGAACAATTACCGCATGAAAGACAATTCAAAGCATTGAGCCATTGACTCTGCTATGATCAAGCAACAACAAAAAGATAGTAGCTTGAACTGATAAAAACTTTTTCAACTATCTAAAGAAAATTATAAGCAATGGAAAATAAATGTTAGAATGTTTTTATGAAATCTCTAATAAGAATCAAAAGTGATGAATGAAAAGGGTGAGAACAGAACGGTTTATATAAAGGATTGAGTGAATAAGGTTTTCAAGTTCTATCATAACAAAAAGATTGTATATGGTTTAAAGTCGTCCTAAAAATAAGTAAGTTACTAACTGAAATAATTGAAAATCAAAACAAACCCCTAAAAAATTATATTGACGGCTTTAATTAGATGAATTTGTACTCTTTAAAAATTTAGGTTCAATTAAATGTCAATTTAGATTGACACATTCTCACAAAATAAATTTTGCAAAGAGATGAAATAGTCACGTGGAATTGAAGAATCTATTTAATTGATCTCATTGACATTTGATTCTCCGTCAATACTTTCGGCCTGGTGTAAAATGTCTATGAAATAGTCGATCGTATTACGTTTGCAACACAATCGAAATTCTAATAGAAAATCTATAAATAAAACACAAATTCATTAGTTAAAAGTTAAAACCAAAAGTGATAAAAGAAATCTTATTATATAAAGGAGAATGCGCACGATGAAAGATTGACACATAAGCAAAACTGTAATTCACCAGATCGCGACACATGTAATTGTTAATTTAGATTGTGACATGTGTCAATAATATCAAAATTTTAAAAATTAAAATAAGAAATATATCTTAAACAAGGATTATGGACTAAATTAATAAAAAAGAAAAACCATCATAATAAAATAGGTAATATTTCTAAATTGTTATATTACAAAATACATTCTTTCCAATTCAAATTATTGAAATAGTTAAAGACAAAAGGAGATGTCGTATTATAAGTTTCATTTTGCTAATATAATAACGTATATGAGATAATTTTAGTATGAGATAAATATGATAAATTGATGATTTAATAAAATATAAAATGATACAATAATAAAATAAATATTTCATATTTGTGCGAGTTATAATTCGGAATCTAATTATATTTGTCAAATTATAGGTATTATAAATTTTAAAAATCAAAAGTATTTACCGCAATGCATTTTATATAAGCATGACACATAAACAAAATTATAACTCACGAGATCACGACATATATCTAATAATAAGATTGATCAGATG